CCGCAAAAGCGCAAAAAACCGCCTGTAAATCTTGCATGCCGCTTTATATTAACACTTCCTGGTCCCGATTCTATTTCTGAACGTCTCCTGTTCACGTCCAGTCAAACGAACTATTTTCAACGTTTCTGGAACGTTTACGATCGTTCTATAATCGAACCAATATTCGAATGTTTTGTTCGAATTTGTTCGAAGAAATTCGAACAAAACATTCGAAATAGAAAGCCACTTTCAACCCCATATCTCCCGCACCCTTATAGCTATCGAGACGCAACCCCCCTGGTGCACGAATGGAGACTTGGGGCTACTACCACATACAAACGCCATTCACGTGCGATGTGTAGTTTTGGCGGTAAAGTGAAATATAGGGACATACATGTCCATTTTTATATACATATATAGATATAGATATAGATATAGTTTTTGTTTTTATATAAAAGACTGTTTCTCTTCCTCTACATAATCTTTCTCTGATTCGATGTGTTTCCCTATAATTTTCAAGTTGCTCTTCTGTCTGATTATTTCTGTTTCGTTGATAATTTTCTCGTAGCAATATTAGATGTACTGTACTTTTCTTTCTTCCGTGGTTTCATTTCCCCGCTCCATCTTTTGCCTTTGAGATATGATTCGAGACCGCAAAAATTCTTTTTTGCGCTTTGGCATTGTTTTGTATATTTTTACTTTTCACACTTCACTATTCACTTTTCACTTTTTTCTGTTATTCGTACACTTTTACTTATAAAAAATCAACTGAAGCATGTGCGTCACACGTCTCCAAAAGCCATCCCCACTACTCACACATAACGGTCCTCGACTAATCCAAAACATTTTCGACTATTCGAAAACATTTAAGATTAAGATTAATTAACATTTTCTCACGATCCAACTACGTGATAAGCGCGGGGATATTACCGCATACATTTTAATCAGAAAAATATTAGAATTATTTTTAAAGGTAATTTGTGATGTTTAAAGAGGAATTAATCTACAGTATAATTGAAGATCTTATTGCCGTTCCTTTCCAACTCCGTCTGAGTTGGTTTCTTGTGTATCACGACTCGATGTAATGAATCAGGTAAGTTGGAAAGCACACCTCCACACTCAAATTGAATATATGTACAGTTTATTTACAGTTGTAGAAAGTACAAGTTGGAAAACATAGTGTATGTACAGGATAACCATGCGTAGTGAATTCATGTGCCAGATTGGCGTCTGGGAACTAATAACCTTTGGAGAGACCTCAGTCAGATTGTGGAGTCGGCTCAACTGCACTTTACAGTATATATATATAAAAATGTAATGTTCGTTTGTTGAAAATCTTAAATCTCCAAAAGTTCTTTCACCGATTGCTTTGAAATTTTGATACAACATGCATTCGAATTCGTGCGTGTTTTTATATAATTTAGATGTCGAAATTCCCCCCCGCGGGGAATTTCGACATCTAAATTATATAAAAACACGTGGCTGGGTCTGCTAGTTTAAAATATAGTTAAAGTGTACCTAGGTAACCCTAATGGCGGCGCTTCTGACTGTCTTTCCTTCGGGAGCACAAACAGTTCAGCCGCCAGCTCTCCTCGGGGAGCCTCCGGCAGTCCGCCGAGTGTTTAACGTCACTAGTTATTGATTCACGGTAGTTCTTGAACAAAATAAAAATATATATATAGTTAATCTAACCTAACCTAACTGAAGAGCTGCCATTTGGGTTACTTAGGTACACTTTAACCTAAAATATTTTACTTAAGAATAAATAAATAAACTAGGCCTATTAGTACAGTATTTATACTAGTTATTGAAGTATTTATTAAATAACTTCTTAATTAATTACAATTAATTAAAAAGATGTAAATTTCTTTATATAAAATTATACTCTACCCGAGTTATTTGGTCGCTTGCAAAGTACAACTATATTATACTTCATTTCGAAAAATTTGCTGTAAGTTAATATGCTTTCGATAATTATCATAGGTAGGAAATTCCAATCTAGAAGATGAATGTAGACCTTTTTAGTTGATAATGGATAAGAAATAGAAACTAATATAAAGCAAACATGATAACACAATCTCTTCCGATATGATGTCAAACTGTTTGGCTAAAAATAAAATAAGTTATAAGGTGTGGCCGCACGCCATATTTATACTAATATTATAAAGAGGTAAAGTTTGTAAGTTTGGATGTAGGAGGTAATCTCCGAAACTACTCATCCGATTTCAAAAATTATTTTAACAATATTTAGAATAGACCTCCAGGGCGGACATAGGCTGTATATTATTCCCTTAAACTGTGGCTATACGCCATATTACAGTAAAGCATCGATTATCCGACTCAATTGGGGATTCAGGTTGGTCGGATAACTGAAAAAATCGGATAACCGAAAAGAACGAAAAAAATACATTATTAGTATAGTATATTAGGATATCCCATGTAATTAGTATATTAGTACTGTATATCGCTATTAACCAACCTCGCGTTGAATTTTCATCGATGTTAAGCCTAACAAATTTTTTTTAAAAATAATAATCGTCGCTATTGTATCGTTAAAAATTATTTTTAAAGTATCACTGGAGTTACGAAGGTTTTTGTGTGAAAGTATATTTTCCTCTGGTGTGTAAGAATAGTTTATTTTCTTAAATTATTTTATTGCTCACGAAACAAACAACCACTCATAATTAGAAAATTAAGTCTCGTTTAAATATTGGCCTCCCTTCAATGGTCGAGCCGTTGATGCCAGCTAAAACACGCAAAAATTTAACAAAAATAATATTAAAGTAGCCAAGACATAGCCAAATATTGTAGTGCCACATCACTAGCGGACATTTGAAATTTACCGACTAGAACGGTCGGTTAACCGATGTGACGGTTAATCGGGGTCGGATAATCGATGCTCTACTGTCCTTCTGAACACCGGAACTGACGTCATTAGCATGTGTATTCGTGCTTACATGTCTAGTTCGAAAGTAAACGCGAACGCTAACAAGAAATATGGCGATTTCCTGCAAATAATATTAGATGCGGTATATAAGAGAATAGTAGATTATACATACATATAATACATATTTAAAGCAATTGTTTTACCTAGTGAATGGATGTGACGTTGTTCTTTTGTGGTGTAACTAAACTGAGTTCAAAATTAACAAATAATTGATATTAATTAAATACAAAACATTTTTTTTTTTTTCTTTTCTCTAAGGGTATTGGCGATCGTTTTAACAATATATAGTATATTTACAAATTTTGTGGACTTTCGTCATTCTCGGTAAACGAAAATCTACGAGGCTTATTTATCTTCCTGCCAGAGTGGGTTATCAGAACACGGGATTGTACTGAGACAGGTTCAGTTATTTTGTCAGGTTCTGCTGACTGTTCGCCTGCTCAGGAATACTTGGACTAGATGTAGGCATGCTGTTAACTGTGTCTTTTATTTTTCAAGTTGGCAATTCTGTTGTTCTAGGAGTCTTCAATAAATGATGCTCGTTTCTTCTACAGGGTGTCTCAGTTAAACGTTTCAGAACTTCTAAGAGGGGTAGGGTGCATCCCGACGACTCGGAATCATATAGCAATGTGGGGTCGGAAATGCTTTCCTGGCGTTGCGCTAAAGTTCCGAGCGTTCTTGCATGGACGTGGTGGTCCCGTGCGTTGGCATGCTCGGTCACCAGACCTATCGTGTCTTGATTTTTATTTTTGAGGGCATATGAAAACACTGGTTTATGACACCCCCGTTGACAATGCTGAGGAGCTGGTTGGAAGAATCGCAGTAGCTGCCGGAGAAATTCGAGATAAGGATGGATTATACCAGAATGTTCGGAATTCCATGCACCACAGATGTGAGGTCTGCATTGCAGTCAGTGGAAGAAACTTCGAACACTTTCTTTGACCCATATTCCTTTTGTTTTTGNTTACTGTATACTTTTGGAAAAACTGAAGAAAGAAATCGAAGAGGCCACACTTGAAGAAGAAGGTTCTGTTTCACCACGATAATGCCAGAATCACTGAACAAAAAATAAACGAACTTAGCTTCCAATTAGTTCCACATTCACCGTACTCACCTGATTTGGCCCCCAGTGACTTCCACCTTTTTCCAAATTTAAAATAATCCTTGGTTGGAAAGAGATTCCACTCAAATGACAAAGTCATCTCTGAAGTAAACGAGTATTTTGCACAACTTGACAAATCGACCTATTGTAATGGCATAAAAAAGCTAGAACATCGCTGGAATAAGTGCATTGCTAACAAAGGAGACTACATTGAAAAATAAAAATAGTTTTAACATTATTTTGTTTGTTGTTCTATTTGAGGCCGCGAACTTTCCGAACAGCTCTCGATCTATTGTAATCTTTATTATTGTCGGGTAAGTAGTTACCACGGAAGCGAGCTACTTGGTTTGTTGTTGCCATTAGGCAGTGAAAGAAATTGGTGTTGTGAGAGAACGAGGGAATCCAAAGAACTTTTCTGTATAAGGGCTATGGTTGTTGATGTTTATATGTAATATGTCTGAACACAAGGTTAGAAAAATGTTTGATCACGAGCAACACTAAGATGCTAGCGGAACGAGTGCTAAACACAGATTGATGAAGCATGCGTACAATCCTGGACTTCCCATCTCCTCGTCACTCATTATGCAAAACGTCGCTCGTTAACTACAGCGAGCTAACACGGCTAGCTGATCGGCGCGAGCGTGCGATTGTAGTGTTACTTCCGGTGTTGGGAATGATGACGAATACAGAAAATACTGACGAATATGGAAAAATAAAAAAGTAATGAAAATGTGACGAATATCGAATATTACGAATACAGTACAGTATATCAGGTTCCATTGTAATTGTATTTCCTAACAGCAAGCGTCACTTAACGAGAGAGGTCTTGCACGGTTATAATGAAACCGATAGCTTCATAGCCGCTTATATCTTTTGTACGTTTCGATACATAAATACTATTATAATTGTTACATATTGCTTGTAAGTATTAAACTATAATGTACATGTCGATGTATAATGTCTGAGTACACGTTACGTCATTTGCTTAACGATCGTTAAACGGTGCACACGCACGTAGATATCGAATAGAATAAGTACTCTATTATCTAGCAAAATATATGTTTATACAATTGCAGAATATTTTTATAAATATTAATACTTTCAGAAAAATAATCCATACATAAATAGGATTGATTGTCCAAATTTGAAGTTTTGATTAATGAAATTGAGTAAGGTTGATTATTTTAAGATAATCAAAATGGGTAGTTAATATAATTGCTTTAATGTCCTTAAATCGTTTGTTGTTTGTTTAAATTATGGCAACGCAATACTTGGGCGATCTGCATAGGATGATGCCTTCCTGGAGGTCTTTTTAATTAAGGGAAACTGGCCCCTATTTAGGCGTTACAGACGTGGAGAAAATCCGGAAAACTCCACGTGGAGAAAACTCGAAAAACTCCACGTGGCCAGCTCGTCCGAGCGAGGCGTGAACCCACGACAGAACTCCCAGTGATCAGGGAACGAAGATCGCTTGGCCACTAGTGGACCGACCCTTAACTTGTACTTTATTCTAAAAATTGTCAACTTAGACTTATCGGGTTTTTAGAATGATTACACTGGTGTACCGGTAATACTACAGGTGAAAAAATAAAGGTTTTTTGTTTTTTTGATTAATTAAGAACTCATCCTTTTGCAAATAGCCGGTACACCAGTGTAATAGTTCTAAAAACCTGATAAGTCCAAGTTGACAATTTTTAGAATAAAATGGGTAGTGTTTAGGGTCTGGGAATGGATTAATACGCTTTCCATTATTTCTAATAGAAGCAACTCATTACTGGATTTTTTTCTATTATTTCTAATAGAAAAAAATCCAGTAATGAGTTGCTTCACTTTCCGGCAACGTTTAGTGGCGCCATCTGTTATGAAATTTTATTTTTATAAACTTGTTATATTTTTACAATTATAAATTATAGAATTTTTACTCGATTTCAGGGGGTGCAAATGCCCCACTTACCCCCTCTGCAGACGCCCACGGTTAAACCTCTAACGACGGCCACTGACGGTAACATAAAGAACGGTCGCTATTTAGAGGAAGTGGTTGTTGAAGANTCATTTTTACAATTATAAATTATAGAATTTTTACTCGATTTCAGGGGGTGCAAATGCCCCACTTACCCCCTCTGCAGACGCCCACGGTTAAACCTCTAACGACGGCCACTGACGGTAACATAAAGAACGGTCGCTATTTAGAGGAAGTGGTTGTTGAAGATTTTCAACTGTATATACATTATCTAACATGTATTAAATTAAATCCTGACCTAATGTAGATCTGTAAAGCTCTACAGTAGGTCAGGATTTAATACTTGTTAATATATACAGGTATTTAAAGTTTCTCTAGACTAGTAATTCTCAACCTTTCTGAGGCCGCATGAAACCATTCACATACTTTTTATTACGCAGAGCATTAGCATTAATATATTCAAAAATCGATAAGCAATTCCACGTTTACTATTCTCACGAAACAACGAAGCAGCCTACCAGTGTTCGAGTAAATAGAATCACTGAACACTAGTAAAAACTATTGGATACTGATCGTGAGGCCAAAGGACAGGCTACGTGGAGTTTTCCGGGTTTTCTTCATGTTTGTAACATCTAAGTAAGAGCCGGTTTCCTTGGGAGGTCACCCCATCCGCAGGTCGTCTTGCCATAACCAAATAAAACCAACAGTGAAGCATGGAATAGTAAACATGGAATTGTCTACAGAGTTATATATTGAGGTACAGTACATTGGAATAAATTCGCAATAAAAACATTTTGCCCGGTGGAAAACTTGGTAGGTCCGCGGAACACGGATTCTGAACAACTGTTCTAGACAGAGACTAAGTGAATATAGTATGCGTATTTAAATTTTGAAATGTTTTATTGTATATGTGCAAAACTATTGTTTTAAAATATTTACTTATATNCAAAATCCCTACAAAATGAATTATTATTGTACAATATAATTATTATTATGAACTATCATTGAGGTTATATTTAGAAACATCGA